GTTTTTTGGGTCAATTTTGGTGTTTTTTGGGTGATTTGGGGTGGATTTTGTGTCAATTTTGGGTCATTTTGGGTGGATTTTGGTGTTTTTGTGTCAATTTTTCCATTTTTTGGCTGATTTTGGGTGGATTTTGTTGGATTTTGGGTGATTTTGGGTCAATTTTAGCTAATTCTGGGTCGTTCTTTCCATTCCCACGCTGATTTTGGGTCAATTTTGGTGTTTTTTGTGTCAATTTTTCCATTTCTGGGCTGATTTGGGGTCAATTTTGGTGGATTTTGGGTGATTTTGGGTCAATTTTGGTGGTTTTTGTGTCAATTTTTCCATTTCTGGGTTGATTTTGGGTCAATTTTGGTGTTTTTTGGGTGATTTTGGGTCAATTTTCGGTAATTTCTCCATTTCTGGGCTGATTTTGGGTCAATTTTGGTGGATTTTGGGTGATTTTGGGTCAATTTTTGTGGATTTTGGGTCAATTTGGGGTCATTTTGTGTCAATTTTTCCATTCCCGTGCTGATTTTGGGTGGATTTTGTTGGATTTTGGGTGATTTTGGGTCAATTTTAGCTAATTCTGGGTCGTTCTTTCCATTTCTGGGCTGATTTTGGGTGGATTTTGGGTGATTTTGGGTCAATTTCAGTGATTTTGAGTCAATTTTGGGTCAATATTTCCATTTCTGGGCTGATTTTGGGTCAATTTTGGTGTTTTTTGGGTGATTTTGGGTCAATTTTCGGTAATTTTTCCATTTCTGGGCTGATTTTGGGTGGATTTTGGGTGATTTGGGGTGGATTTTTGTGGTTTTTGTGTCAATTTTTCCATTCCCACCCTCGTTTTGGGCTGATTTCGCTGTTTTTTGGGCGTCCCAGAGTGCCCCCGCTGCGGGCAGCGCTTCGCCCTGGCCCGGGGGGGCTGTTTGCATTTCCAGTGCTCCCAGTGCCGGCACCACTTCTGCTCCGGCTGCGGCGCCCAGTTCCACCAGCCCGGGGTGAGCCGGGCGCTGGGAGGGGCTGGGAGGGGGAGAAATGGGGGAAAAAGGGGAAAAACGGGAAAAAACGGTGAAAAAACGGGGAAAATTGGTGAAAAAATGGGGAAAAAATGGTAAATAAAGGGTTAAAAATGGCAAATAAAGGGTTAAAAATGGGGAAGAAAGGGTTAAAAATGGGTAAAAATGGGTTAAAAATTGGGGAAATGGGGTCTGGGGTTACTGGTTTGTACTGGTTTATACTGGGAGGGACTGGGAGGGGGAGAAATGGGGAAAAAATGGGGAAAAACGGGAAAAAACGGTGAAAAAATGGGGAAAATATGGCAAAGAAAGGGTTAAAAATGGTGAATAAAGGGTTAAAAATGGCGGGAAATGGGGGTTGGGGTTACTGGTTTGTACTGGGAGGGACTGGGAGGGGGAAAAATGGGGAGAAACGGGGAAAAAACGGTGAAATTTGGTGAAAAAATGGTGAAAATTGGTGAAAAAATGGCAAAGAAAGGGTTAAAAATGGTGAATAAAGGGTTAAAAATGGCGGGAAATTTGGGTCAAATTTTGGGTGAATTTCTCCCAATTTTGGGTGAATTTTGGGTCAATTTTTGGGTGAATTTCTCTCAATTTAATCTCAATTTTCTGCTGAATTTTGGGTGAATTTGGGTCAAATTTTTTGGGTGAATTTGGGTCAAATTTGGGTCAAAAATTGGGTGAATTTCTCTCAATTTTGGGTCAAATTTTGGGTGAATTTCTCCCAATTTTGGGTCAATTTTGGGTCAAATTTTGGGTGAATTTGGCTCAATTTTATCTCAATTTTTTCTCAATTTTGTGCCAAATTTTGGGTCAATTTCTCTCAATTTTGTGTCATTTTTTGGGTGAATTTCCCTCAATTTTGGGTCAATTTTGGTTCAATTTTGGGTCAAATTTTAGGTGAATTTCCCTCAATTTTGGGTCAAATTTGGGTCAATTTTGGGTCAAAAATTGGGGGAATTTCACTCAATTTTTTCTCAATTTTGTGCCAAGTTTCGGGTGAATTTCTCTCAATTTGGGTGAATTTCAGGTGAATTTCTCTCAATTTTGGGTGAGTTTAGGGTGAATTTCTCTCAATTTTGGGTCAAATTTTAGGTGAATTTTGCTCAATTTTGGGCCAAGTTTTGGGTGAATTTCTCGCAATTTTTGGTCGATTTTGGGTCAATTTTGGGTCAATTTTGGGCCAAATTTTGGGTGAATTTCTCCCAATTTTGGGTCAATTTTGGGTCAAATTTTGGGTGAATTTCTCCCAAATTTGGGTCAAATTTTGGATGAATTTTGGGTGAATTTCTCTCAATTTTGGGTCAATTTTGGGTCAAATTTCTCTCAATTTTGTGTCTTTTTTGGGTGAATTTCCCTCAATTTTGGGTCAAATTTGGGTCAAATTTTGAGTGAATTTCTCTCACTTTTGGGTCAATTTTGGGCCAAATTTTGGGTGAATTTCTCCCAATTTTGGGTCAATTTTGGGCCAAATTTTGGGTGAATTTCCCTCAATTTTGGGTCAATTTCTCTCAATTTTGGGTCAAATTTTGGGTGAATTTTGGGTGAATTTTTCCCAATTTTGGGTCAATTTTTGGTCAATTTCTCTCAATTTTGGGTCAATTTTGGGTGAATTTCACTCAATTTTATCTCAATTTTCTGCTGAATTTTGGGTGAATTTCTCTCAATTTTGGGTCAATTTTGGGCCAATTTTAGGTCAAAAATTGGGGGACTTTCACTCAATTTCCTCTCAATTTTGGGCCAAATTTCGGGTCAATTTCTCTCAATTTTGGGTGAATTTTGGGTCAATTTCTCTCAATTTTGGGTCAATTTTGGGTCAATTTTGGGTCAATTTTGGGCCAAATTTTGGGTCAATTTCTCTCAATTTTGGGTCAAATTTTGGGTGAATTTCTCTCAATTTTGGGTCAAATTTTGGGTGAATTTCTCTCAATTTTGGGTCAATTTTGTGCCAAATTTTGGGTGAATTTCTCTCAATTTTGTGCCAAATTTTAGGTGAATTTTGCTCAATTTTGGGTGAATTTCTTGCAATTTTTGGTCGATTTTGGGTCAATTTTGGGTCAATTTCCCTCAATTTTGGATCAATTTTGGGTCAATTTCTCTCAATTTTGGATCAAATTTTGGATGAATTTTGGGTCAAATTTTAGGTGAATTTTGCTCAATTTTGGGCCAAGTTTTGGGTGAATTTCTCGCAATTTTTGGTCGATTTTGGGTCAATTTTGGGTCAATTTTGGGTCAATTTTGGGTCAATTTTGGGTGAATTTCAATTTTGGGTCAATTTTGGGTCAAATTTTGGATGAATTTTGGGTCAAATTTTAGGTGAATTTTGCTCAATTTTGGGCCAAGTTTTGGGTGAATTTCTCTCAATTTTGGGTCAATTTTGGGTCAATTTTGGGTCAAATTTTGGGCCAAATTTTGGTCAAATTTCTCTCAATTTTGGGCCGACTTTTGGGTGAATTTCTCTCAATTTTGGGTCAAATTTGGGTCAAATTTTGGGTGAATTTGGCTCAATTTTGGGTCAATTTTTGGTCAATTTCTCTCAATTTTGGGCCAACTTTTGGGTCAAATTTCGGGTGAATTCCTCTCAATTTTGTGCCAAATTTTGGGTGAATTTCCCTGAATTTTGGGTCAATTTTGTATCAAATTTTGGGTGAATTTCTCTCAATTTTGGGTCAAATTTTGAGTGAATTTCTCTCACTTTTGGGTCAATTTTCTGCCAAATTTTGGGTGAATTTCTCCCAATTTTGGGTCAAATTTTGGGTGAATTTCTCCCAATTTTGGGTCAATTTTGGGCCAAATTTTGGGTGAATTTCTCTCAATTTTGTGTCATTTTTTGGGTGAATTTCCCTCAATTTTGGGTCAATTTTGGGTCAATTTTGGGCCAAATTTCGGGTGAATTCCTCCCAATTTTCCCTCAATTTCACTCCATTTTTTCCCCCTTTTTTCCCCGTTTTTTTTTTCCCCTCCCCCCCCGCCC